ACAGAGCGAGTCGGAGGCCAGCCAAGGCAATTCAGCAAAACTTTTATCTCAGAAAAACAAGTAAAAACTGGTTGAGAATGTAAATAAATGATAAAGCGTTTGCCTAATGTATGTGAAGCCCTAGATTTAAAACCCAGTATGGCAAGCAACAAAAGACACAACACGTCTCCATCGCCCCAAAGTTCCCCTGTGCTCCACTTTATCTCCCTACTGCACACACCGCTGGACACGCCTGTTTTCTGCTCCCGAGTCTCTGCCTTTCGCAGCGGGTCAATAAGTGCCAGCCAACCTGACATCCACACAACCTTACAGGAAAGGCAGCCGAGATCACATGTGCTGTGCCAACGTGCCCATAGTTCAGGGCCATCTGTGCCGTGGAAGCACCCATCTCAGAGTGTGGACAAAGATGGCTTTCAGAAGCTGGGAACTGCTCAAAAACAAACAAATCAAACAAAGACTGAAGGATCAGGAGCTCACACTCAGCTACAGAGTTCAGAGGCAGCGTGGGCTCTGTAAGGCCCAATCTCAAAAAACCCTCACTAAATGAGTAAACGTGTATGTCTGTGTAGTGACACAGGCCTGCGATCTCAGAACTCATCAGAAGGCAGAAGGATCACTGCAAATTCTAGGCCAGCCTGAGCTACACAGAAAGACCAAAAGAAAGTAAGTAAGTTTAGAGAAAAACCTGTCTGTAAAGAATGCCTCCTCCTTCGTCATCCCCTTAATGACACCGTGTAACAGCATATCACACACCGTCTGCGTTGTACTAGGTGTCGTAAGCAATCTAGAGAAACTTGAAAGACGTCACCTGGCCGTTCACAAGGACTGCACCATTTTATAGAAGATACTTGACCATCATCAGACTCTGGTCAAGTGAGGAGCTAGGAACCAATGCCCCGGGGATACTGAGGAGGACTCTGTTACCAAGAGATTTAACATAAGAGAACAGTCTTTAGCCGGCCCCCATCCTGAGAAGGGGAAGGGGGGGCTGGGCAAGGCACCCCTGCTGTGCTCTTGTTCCCGCCCCACGGAACCACACCCGGGGCTGACCTTGTAGACGTGCCTCCAGTTCTTGCCGTGGTCATTGAGCCGCTTCCAGATCATGCTCATGATCTCGGAGAAGGCCACAACATTGTAGGTGAGGTCAGCGATCTCTGACATGAGGGAGCTGGATGGGCCCCAGGGATCATTGCTTGTGGCTTCCCGGACCTTGATCTCAGCCTCTGAGTAGTTGTGGACGATATTCTTCATCTGACGCCGAAGCGACGAGGTCGACATTTTGCCCAGTGGTGGTGTCAAGGGGCACCAGCCCCCTGGGGCATGGAGAGATGAGGCGACTCACAGAGGGAGACCGCAATGGATGCCGGTAGATCACCACATCTGAAGGGGGAGAGAGTCTTTGGAAACACAAAGGAGACATGGGCTAACCAGCACCCAAGCTGCCCTGAGCCTCCCACTCTGGAGGTTCCCCAGCACTCTTGAGAGGAAGGCAAGATGCTGTGTGGCTGAGACTCCCTCCCCTGCTACCCTCTGTCTTAAAGCTAGCCCGTCCTTCTTTCAGTTCCTCAAACAAGCCTAGCTTCTTCCTGCCTGGGGCCCCAGACCAGCTGAGGCAGAACATGCAGTGGTAGGTCAGACACCCGAGTCCAGACCCCAGTTCGGCTTAACAGTGCAGGCCTCAAACTTTGGACCCTAGTTTTCTCCAGTACAAAATGAAGTTCTGTGAGACAAGGGTCCTACTAAGCAGAAGGTTTCAGTAAAAGCTGGCCAGCTCTCAGGGAGCCCCGCTGTCCTGCTAACCAATTCTCCTTCCTCGGCAGAGACTGCCACACATGCCCAGGGCTCTGCTTAAACTTCCCAGACCCGAGCTCAAATATCTTTATCGCTGATGATAAAGGGATTCTTTTGAGTGGGTCCCTGTGATTTACAGCCTATTCGTCTGGTTCTGAAGCTATGGGGACCCATAGTGGACCCATAGTGGTGGAAATGATATTTGTTTGTACATGGTTTTTCCCTACAAGGAAGCTGGTGCCGGAAAACATTCAATAAACAGTGAGGGAAGGAAATGGAGAAGGACGGAAGCAAAGACCTCTAGGACAGGAGTCATGATGGAAGAGGCCCGTGATGGCATTAAAGACACCAGAGGTGGTGTCCCCGGGGCAGTGGGAGGCTGGGGCATGTCCCAAGGGCAGGGAGGGAAGCTCAAGGCTCAAGGGAGGAGAGATAAGGAATGTAGGAGGAGTCCCCAGTCATGGGTACCAGCTGAGCCACATTATCACATTTAATACTGAATGCAGACAACGGCCTCATGGGAGTTAAAAAACTCAGCCAAGGTTAGATAATAAATGCCAAAGAATACCCAACTATGAAACAAACCTATTTTACTTCTATAAATTCATACTTGGAGGGAGGGGTTGACACAGCATTTCTCTACACAGTGCAGGCTGTCCTGGAACTCAACATGTTGACCAGGCTGTCCTGGAACTCAACATGTAGACCAGGCTGGCCTGGAACTCAAGAGATCTCCCTGCCCCTCCCTCCCAAGTGCTGGCATTAAAGGTGTGTGCCACTAAACCCATGCTTTTAAATTAACCTAAATAAATTAAACCTGTGCTGTGGACAGCTGATGAGAAAAAGTATCAAGGGCAGGAACCAGGCAAATGAGGGTAATACTAACGAGCACTTCCACAACCCTTACATCCTTCTAGGCACCCATTAAGTGCTTTACACTCTCAACTCAAGCCTCACAAATCCGTGACTCACAGCCACTTTACACAGGAGGGAACATGGACACATTAACGCCTCGCCCAGGGACACACACCTCACAAGTGGAGCAGCCTGGGTCCAGAGGAGGCTCCGATCACCAGTCTATGTCTCTCCAACAAGCCATGGAGGGAGATTTAGTGAGCCCTACCATGATCCAACCTGAAGGAAGACATAGGTGAATGGGAGAGGCTGCCCTCTGCCTTGAACTCGGGTCAGAGAACGGAGCACCTGCAGGCAGGCGTAACCAGGCAAAAAAAAAAAAGAAAGAAAAAAAGGTGGCCGGGTCCTAAGACAGGACCAGACAGACACGGTAAGACAAACGAGAGAGAGAGAGAGAGAGAGAGAGAGAGAGAGAGAGAGAGAGAGAGAGAGAGAGAAACTCAGACAAAAAGAAAGCAACAGCAAGGCAGGAGGGCAGAAAGACAGGGACCCCGAAACAAAACACACACACAACACACAGGGTTCCAGACTAAGACAAAATCATACATACATACATACCCAAGACATAATTAAAAATAACACAAAATGTACACACAAATCCCAGCCACAGAAGCAACCAGCAAAACCAACCGTGTGCCTCAGTTCACTGAACTGTGTAACAAACGGAGGGATGCTACCTGGCAGGCTTCCTGACTAAATAAGATGTGTACATATAAAGGGTTTGGTTCTATGCCCCACAGATAGTAGGCGCTCGGTACCCCTGCCTGCTATTATTATCAGAGAAAACCATTTCCAAAGGGGTGGCATCTAAAGATGCGCTATCCTAACACCAACCTACTTCAAGCATGTTTGAAAAAAAAAAAATACCAGATTTCACAGATACTGCTGAGAATGAGGCAGTTTTCCACATTTAATTAATTTAGAAATGTTTATTAAACAGTGCCAACAATACAGCGAAATTCTCCCCACGGGGAATTCAAATAACTGGTATTAAACACTAAGCGAAACAAAAATCTCTAATAATAATTACCAGAGCTCAAACACTTAACTCCCGGCCAGACACTGTTAAGCACTTCACAAGCACCACCTCAATTAATGTGCAGAGACCCTGTGGTGCAGGAACTATGTACGAACGCTTCCATTTAGAAGGCTAGGAAACTGAGGTCTGGAGACCGAGGCAAGCAGCAGGGCGTCTGGATCCCAGTCAGAGCTCCTACCCATAGCACCAGAAACTCAGAACCCTGGGGGAAGGGGGCGCATCCTCAACCAAAGCGAAAGGTTCCGGGGAAGGAACTTAGGGCCGGGGGGACGACAGCGATGGTGACAAAAACGAGACGTGAAGACCGGGAGAGAAACATGCACCAGAGGGAGGCAGGTCCGGGGAAATGAAGACACAAACCCACAAGGGGCAAGAACGGTATCCTGACAGGAACCCGGAGCGATCGAGGACACGAACACACGGCACTCGGATCTCCCGAGCCCTTTTGTACGAACACCGAATCACAGAGGCAGGGCAACACAAGCAGCAGGACCGCGCGCGACGGGGACACTGACAAGCCCAGCAGAGACACACACCGGCAGGCAAACCCGACCCGGGCACGGTGGTAAAAAAGCAGCCACAAGCCATCAGCGGCTGGAACGCCGGCTCCGAGGCTGGCCGGACCCGCGCGTGCCACGGCCCGGGCCAGGACACCGGACTCGCCGCGACGGAGGCCAGCATTGCGCCCCTCTCTCACCTCGGCCCACTCACACCGGGCTCCCGGGGGTCATGACGGTCAGCCCCCTGCCCCCGCTCGGCCTCGGTGTCGCGGAGCGCGCGCCGGGCTGCGGGAAGCAGAGGTGCGCACGGGCGCACGCACAGACGCACGGACGCACGGAGGGCCGCACGGCGACGGCCCCGCCGCCCCGGCGCCCGGGAGGGGCGCGGAGAGCCGGGCGGGGGGGAGGGGAGCCGCCGAGCGGACGGGAAGCAACCGAAGGTGGCGACGGACCGGAAGCGGAAGTGACCCCACGCGCCCCGCCCTCTGCACCTCGCCCGGCAGCCTCTACTTCCGCGACCAAACCCTCCCTGGCATCACTTCCGGCGCACGGGACTGCGTCTGTGTACCCTTGCGTCACTTCCGCATCAACACATTCAGCGGTGAAGAGGCGGGAACCATCGGAGCCGGCACCTGAGCCCTCCAGGATGGCGCCCATGAGGTGCTCAGGCCCGCCTCCCTCCCTGGCACCACCGCCCACACCCACGACCGCAAGAGAAGGGCGCACACACTGGACACAGAAGGGGCTCCAGAAAGTAAAATACAACAAAATGTTTAATGAGCAAATTCGTATTAGCAAATATGAAACTGCCACAGAGAGGAGGAGCGGGACGGAGACCACGGGTTGAGGGTCAGGGTAAGACTAAAGAGAAGAACCAACTACTTAAGAAACCAGGGTGGAGAACAGGGAGGACCAGAAGCCAGAGGACGGGAGCTGTGGTCCTGCAAAGGGAGGGCAGGGCACTGAGGGCCAGACAACAAAATTCAAAAGAGTTTGGCCATAAAATATAAACACGCTATGTTCCTACCATGGGGAGGGGAGGAGAGGGTGTAGGGATAGAGGAGCCGCCTGGGACGGGGCTGTGGGGTCCTACCCGCCCTGCTGTGCACACAGCCCCGCCCCAGCCCCTTCCCTCTGTGTCTGTGGGTGCATGTGTCTGTGTGGGCCTGTGTGCACTTGCCCAGGCCCCTTCCTGCCCTAGCCCCCCGCCCCCCGCCCCCCTTCATTGCTGCCATTCCAGTTGCTGCCGGCTGTCATTCGGCTGTCACTCCTCTGCCCATCATCTTCAGCGAGGGGAGAAAGGAGGGGGGGACAGGTGGGGAAAGCCCCCAGCCAGCCCTGCCCCCACCCTCCCCCAGCCACCTCTACCAGAAGTCCCGGCGGTGGTAAGAGTCAGGGTCACAGTATTTTGTGACCACCACTCTGTTGGCGAACTTGCGGCCGGTTAGGCCCTGCATGGCTTTCTGGCAGTCAAACACAGAGGTGAACTCCACAAAGATCTGTAGGAACAAGAGGCAGAGCTGTGAACAAGGCTGGCCCCAAGCAACCAGTCACATTGAAGTCCAGAATCAGCGCAGGAAACGAGAGAACACCTCAACACAGACCATGAAAAGACCTTCAGTTCAGTTTGAGGATGCTCACCCAAACATTCTCCGAACCCAAGACAGCAAAGAACAGCGACATCACAGGAATGGAGAAAAACAGGCAGGCCTGAGTCACCTGGGTACACTGGGCAGGTGGCCAGAGGCAAGATCCCAGAGGAGAAGGGTCACTTCTCTATCAGGCTTCCACAGGGTGCTCCCCGAGCCCGGTAACAGCCACGCCGTCCCCCACAGTGGATAAGGAAAGCTCAGAAATGAGGTTCCAAGTCCAAACGGAATTAAAGCACTTGAACCTTCATCTATTCATGCCACTAATCTTGTCCTCCCTGCTTACAGGACATGAATACAGGAAGCTACTCTAACATGGAAGACCCAACAACTACCGCCCTACTTCAACAACCAGCTTGACTTTGAAGGGAGATGGGGTGGGGATGACGAGATAAAACTGATAGGACAAACTGTGGGGCCAAAAGCTTGCTATACAACTCTGACACCCTGAGTTCAAGCCCCTCAACCACTTTCGGAAAGACCTGACTTCTCTCCTGAAAGCTGTCCCATGTTTGCACAAATACAAAAGTGTGTGCGTTAAAAACCTGTTTAAAAGAAGCCGGGCAGTGGTGGCGTACGCCTTTAATCCCAGGACTCAGGAGGCAGAGGCAGGCGGATCTCTGTGAGTTCGAGGCCAGCCTCGTCTACAGAGTGAGTTCCAGGAAAGGCTCCAAAGCTACACAGAGAAACCCTGGCGGGGGGCGGGGGGTGGGGGGGGATCTATTTAAAAGAAACGAACAAACAGCAACCAAATTTGGGGTTTGGACCTTACTGAAACAAGACATTCCAGAGACAGAACAAAACTTAGGTAGATTAGACACCAAGAAATTAATGAAGGCTGTTTTGCTGTAGTAACAGTATTCTTTGGGGTTTTTTAAACTAAGGTTACAACACTGGATCTCAACTAGGGACAGAGCATGTCCCCAGGAGATAATGAGCAATGTCTGTTGTCACAAAGAGGACGTAGCACCTACCTATAAATGGCCAAACCCCAAAACACTTATCTATTCCAAAATGTCAACAATTGAGAAATATAGCTAGATTTCTAACATGAACTCTGAGACATGCTTTAAGCACTGTATAAGCCAGGTGTGAGGATACACACCTGCTATCCCCAGCACCAGGGAGTCTAAGGCAGGATCACAGGCCCAAGGCCAGCCGGGGCTACCCAAGACCCGATCTCAGAGCAGAAACAAAGCCACTCCCAGAAATATTGATAACTTGAGAGCTGGGTGATAAATACTGAAAATAGCCACATCAGCCTCTTACTTTCTTTCTTTCTTTCCTTTTGAGACAGGGTTTCTCTGTGTAGCTAGGGCTGTCCTGGAACTCACTCTGTAGACCAGGCTAGCCTCGAACTCAGAGATCCACCTGCCTCTGCCTCATGTGCCATCACCACCTAGCTCCTCTCTTAGGTATTTTTAAAAGACCCATAAACAACAAAAATAAGGTGAATAGTAGTGTATGCTTCCAGTGCCAAAGCCTGAGAGTTCGATGCCAGCCAGCCTAGGCAACATAGCAAAACCCTGTCTCAAATATGAAAAATCCATTTAAAAAAATAAATAAATAAAAAGGCCAGCTGCTCAGCCGGGCGGTGGTGGCGCACGCCTTTAATCCCAGCACTCGGGAGGCAGAG